AGTGTCTTGGGAACTTATATTGGTCAAGGACTGGATTTAAGTTTATATGGATTTCTTGGAATTCAAGTGAAAGGTGGATTATCCAAAAAAAAATTCCCTTCACCACTTTCATATCCAAATCCAAATCTCTCTTATCCAATTATCCAAATTCACTATCCATTTTTCTAACAAACCAAAACTCATTCTAAATTTTAAAACTAAAACCATTTTTTTTTCATTATCCACTATCCTCACCTTTATTCACATCCCAAAATCCATTTTTTTGTATATCCATTTTCAATACCTCGTTATCCATTTTGCATAACTATTTCCAATATCCATAACTATTTTTCCAATATCCAACATCCATGACTATTTCACATCCGAATATCCAATTTTAAATCTATTTCCTAAACTTATGTCCATTCCTAACCAAAGTCCTAAATCCATTTTCCAAAGGCCATAAACCATTTGTTGCAAAAAAATCCACACTTTCTAAAAGTCCCATGTTTGTTTTAAATCTCATGATTATTTTGTCAAGATTGCAATGACTTTAATTTAATCCACCCATTTGAAGTTCAAGAAGCAAAACTCAAATTCAAAGTTATCAGTTTCAAGTTTTAAGAATGTAAGTTAAAAGTGGATTTTAAAAAAAATTCAAAAGTGCACAAAGATTTATTACAAGTCATAATATCTTTTTACAAGAAGGAAAATCATAAAGCATGAATGAGAATCAAGATTTATTTAATTTCCAAAGAAAAATGTCTAAACACAATCCAAAACATGTTTAAAATGAGTGTAAAATCATTTCCAAAACATATTCGATTTGTCTGATCCATTTCCAAAACCATTCACAAACATATTGAACTTAAAAAGGAAAAGATCAAAACATGTTCCTCATCATCAATTTTCATTCTCCAAACATGATTAGACAACACTCAAATACTTTCCAAAAACAACAGTAAACATGTTCCAACATGCTCAAATCAAAATGGAAAGATTTTCATCACACATGCAACACAAAAATCTGCAGCATTATTTCACATTGATTTTCAAAATTAAAAGTGAAGCCTATAAGTTGCAGAAGGCATCAATTCACAGGATGGACAAGCAAGGTACGATTTCGGAAAAAAAATAGAACAACATCACAAACACCATACATGATTCGAATCAAAACAATAAAGAACAACAACAACAACACACGAATGAGGAAAAAAAAAGGGAAAGAATTGCGAATTGCATACCTATAGAATTTTCTAGCTTTCTCGTGTTAATACTATCGTCGAAGACGCGTCGAACGAACTCCAACAGGTAATCTCAACCATTTATTCTCTTTTACCGTATATCTAAACATTCAAATTGTTGTTTTTTTCCAAATGGATGGGTCTGGCTCATGTCTCATTTTTTTTATAAAAAAAAAAAGAAAAAACAAAACAATATTTTTTTTATTCTAATTTAAATTGTTATTTTATTTTAAGTTTCAATTATCTTTTTCTCTAGTTCGGATTTAATATTTATTTGTTGAGTAATAATTACATTTTTTAGTAATTTGGATTTTATTCAATTGATTAATCAGAAATTGTATGATTCTAATTGATTAATTAAGTTTCTATTTAACCTTTTTTTTTAATTACGTCGTGATACAAATCATTGACGATCTTGGTTTGACGTGTTTCCCTTAGGATATTCTTGATTCAATTTAATCCCTGACTAATTGACTCAAGATAGACTTTAGGGTGAATTTTCTTGCATGACGACGTTAGGCCAGTTTCCCGTTAAAACTTGATCTTAGGTCATAGCATTAAGTTCTTACCCTTCATCATAGCCTTAGGATCGGAGTCGCCGCACTCCACGCAAGCGTCTTTCCATGGACATTCTATTTTACACTCTTATCCTAGCCTTAGGATTGGAGTCGTCGTGCTCCGTATAAGTTCCTGCCATGAACACTTATTCATTTTCCTTCCTTTCATCCTAGCCTTAGGATCAGGAGTCACTGTACTCCACGTAAGTTTCTGCCATGGACACTTACTTATCTTGCCCTTTTCAACTTAACCTTAGATTGGGAGTCACCGTACTCCACATAAGTGTCTCATTATGAACACTTACTTCTCCCTGGAACCTTGACCACATTCAAGAGTTCCTCACCCTCGTTGAGGGGAACTACGAATTCTCTAATTCCATTCCCGTCAGGATACATAGGCACGAGATGCGATGTCTTGGTGAGCATACGTAGGACTAACACCTTAGGTTTTCTTTCAATCCTTTAACAGATATCAGATAACAGATAAACAAATAATACAAATATAAAACAAGAGGTTCCTGTAGAGTACTACATATGCTTAGGATGCTAACACCTTCCTTAGGCATAACCAACCCCCGAACCGCAAATCTCCCGCATTGTTTTTACGATGCAATTAGGGTTTTTTTTCGTTCTTTACCCTTTCCTTTGGGTAACTCAAAATTCGGTGGTTAATTTCAAAGATTTTTTATTCAAGTTATTCAATAACTTGATATATGATTCTCACCGCAACACTAGTAGTGTTTGTTTGTCTCTTCCCCGGTGGAGTTGAATCTTTTTCCATGGAGTCTTGCCTTGCCGAGTCTGTTCCTCGCCAGTTTAGTTCTTTTCTGTGTTTTAGTGTTTCTGTATACAGTTATCCCCTGTGGCAACATCCCCCATAGGACCTTTGTCTCACATATCATATCATTTCATATCAGAAGCATCTTTGTGGCATATTAGGGCCAAAAATTTATGCATGTCTGTATTTAAACCTCTCCTATCACGTCTAGATGAAGGTTTCAATCACCATATCTCCGAATAGAAGAAACTTAAATAGGGGCACCTGTCACACCCTAATTTTTGAACCTAAGATCCCACCTCTTTATGCATTATCTTGCATAGTATCTTCAGGGCATAGGTCTCTGTGTGCATGTTTATTGTGACTAACCAGCTTATGTAGATGCAGTATTTTCCAGTGTAGTTCCTTGCAGTCAAGCATTTCAGGGCACAACTATTCTAGTTCAAGGCCCTAATTTTTTTATTGGGTAACTTCTCTCAAGATGCCTCAGAAGCTTTAATATATGCTCAGGAAGCATTAGGATTTCCTTCTATTGATTTTGAGCATAGGAATTTGAAAATTAGGGCGTCGATCTCAAACCCGAGTTTGTTGGAGTCTTGGTACATTATGATCTGGGCTCTAGAATTTCAAGCTTGGTTGCAATATGGTGTTTGTTTTGGGAGTATTATTCTTTGAAAAATTTTAGGCCATTGTTAAGAGTCTTTATAACATGATCAAGATACAATCACCATTCAAACATCCAAATTTGAGGGATTGGTTTGTCATAATAAGCATTTTCATGTTATTCACTATTTGATTTCAAATTTGTGATTCAATTAGATCCCAAGATCCAAGTTACGTCCATAAAGTTAAACTAGAAATATCAAATCCAAGTTCAAGATTGCAAGACTTTTGGCATAATAGCATTTCCATGAGTTTAAGCCTCGTCATTTAAGGTGTACGAATTAACTTCAAACTCATGTTCTTTACCAAAGTTCAATTAGATTCTTTGTTCTTTACAATTTAAGTTCAAGATTCAAGATTCAAGCAATCAACGTCCAGTTTACGTTTTGCAATCTCAACGTTCATTCAAGTTTAAACTCAAAGGCTTAAGAATATAAGGCTATGTAAATGTTGTTGTATACTTAGATACACAAGTGTACAAGCTTTGCTGATATTAAGTTCGAATTTGCAAAGTCGGTATAACTCTAAAATTAGTAGCAATTAAAGTGCACACGTGACTAAGTCACACAAGGAATAGCAGGTGGGTGCAATTACATTTTCAAGGGTGTCTACAAAGAAAAATAAGTTCACATGTAACTCCCAAATTTCTTAGTACATAAGAGTGCATTACAGCAGGAGTCCAAATTTACATTAAGATTCGATCGAATCCAAGCCCCATTCGACAAGTACCATTCATGGTGGGTCGGTTTAGAAGAATTACAAGCCAAAGTTAATGCAAAGAATAGAAGGGCATCACATTGCAAATATAGCAAGCAATTAATTCTAGAATTTGAATTCAAAGCCAGTCACCAAGGTTATAACACTTGTTTTCCTATCGAAACCTGAAGAAACAACACAACTTCCCCTCTACCGTATTCAATCCCTCTAGTACAGGTTCTGCAAGGAATTGCAGCAAGTATTTTGAGCTTCAAATCAAGTGCGACTACACCAGCAAAACCACAAAGAAGGCGAGGAAATTCCCCCTGATTTATTTTTAGAGTTTTACTTCCACTTTCTTCAAAACCTACAGCGAAAAATAAAAAGAATTACACTAAACTTTTCCAGTCACGTTTTCTCACACTTTTAAACACCAATATTCATCAGTAAAACTCCAAACCAATTTTAAACTTTTCACAAAGCCACGACATAACCATAAACCGAACTTATCCCGGATTTTCTACCAATTTTCTAACTACTAAATAATTTACATTACATCAACATAAAACAACCTCATCACTTCCATTACTAATCCATTCAAGCTTACACAAAAAAGCACCAAACCAAACCAACAGGAAATGACGAAAAAGTATTTTTGAATCAGACTTGTTCAAGGTAAAATAGTGTGATCTAAGTGCAACAAATACCTTTAAGTTCAAAGCACAATATCCACCAAGATACTATTTTGTAATACTGATCTTAGTTAGCAGCTTATAAACAAAGGAATTACCAACAGAGGGTTCAACATACTTCCCATTTTCGACATAAACACAGACTGATTCGACAGGATCTTATTTAGCATTTCATCAAGTCATAGAAGCCCAAGAGGAGTTCTTGATCACGACCAAATTGCTACGTCCCGTTGAAGGCACCCATGAGGTTCCTTGATTTTGCAGACAAAAAAAAAACAAGTTAACAAAGTCACCTAGCTATTTCAGCAAATCACAAATTTAAAATGAAGCTTTTCTTTTTTGTGTTAGTTTCTAAACCTACCAGAGTCATGACAGCGCTGCTCTGTACTAATCACGTTGACTCCATTGAATTTATATCCTACACCAAACAAGATTTTAGGGAAAATGTCATATTGCTACTATTCTACCTGAGTTCCCCAAGTTTCTACAACCTAATCACTAACTCTGCAGTAAGAAATCACAGACAATAGAAGTTCGACCTTAGAAGTGGCCATCGCAGTAGCCATTTCGCGTGTGCTAGATGGAAGCTCTAAAAATAACCACTGAACCTGCCATGGAAGTGGACTGTTATCTTCCTTGCACGTCATAGCCTTGACAAATGTATGTGTCTCTTGGATTATGGTCATAAGTCGCAATATCTTTGTATGTAACATCCATATGCACCTGATAGTTCAAATGAAAGGAAAATGTATCAATCACCATTGTGCTTTCCAGATGATGAGACAAATAAGCAGAGGAAGATTTCATAATGTTTGATGACGGATGTGTTGTTACAAGCAATGCTATTATCACCGAACATTGTTCATGAAAATTAAATCCAGCTCGTAAGAATTTTGACATACCTCGCTTCAAGTGATAGTAGTGACGATGGTACTGCAAAGTCGTGTGATGAAGGGCTCACCAGAAGTAGATGGAGAAGCAGTTCTAATGCTGTTGTTCGAATTTGAAACGAGAGACTTTCAGCCACTAGGTACTTCACCTACGAACAAATGGAAATATTCAACGGAAAGCATCGAGGTACGGTTTTGGCAAGATTCCCAGAATAGAAGCAGCTATCAGACACGATCCAACATCAACATCAATTACTTTCCAGAACATCGGTAAATCATGCTCAAACATGCTAACACATAAATGGAAAGAAATTCATCATAAACAATTCTCCAATTCAAACAAATTAAGCCTCAATCAAGTCACATATTTTCTTTCCAAACACGTATCAAACACATTCAAGGCACAAACCGAAGCTTTCCAAAACAATAGCAGACAAGTTACCTCGCACATTGAATTCCAAATCATGGAAATTAATTCATTCAAAGTCTATAAGAACACTATGCCCTCATTCACAAAAAGGACACACATATTCACGCAAGAGAAGAACCAGAAAGTAACACGAAGGCCCCAGATTCGCAACTCTAAAAAAAAGGGAAGAGCATAGTAGAGTAGAACTTATGTTTGTTATCGGAACCGCTTCCCACAGGCAACGCTTCTTTATTCATTCTCTGTATCACCATTGATTTTTGGATTGCCTTTTCTTGCCTTAGTTTTTGTTTCCCCGAGCTTTAGTTTGTGTTCGTCATCCGATTTGGGGTTTAGGGTTAGGGTTCCCCTTTTTGTTGATTTAGGATAAGATACGGACGAGATGATCTTGGATGGTGGATTTCGCTGGAGTTCGTTGGTAGGATGGTGGATTTCGCTGGAGTTCGTTGGTAGGATGTCGTCACCAAAAGAATGGAGGAGCTGGATCGATCAAAGCCAAATCGAGAGAGAGAGAGAGAGAGAGAGAGAGAGAGAGGCGTCAATGGTTTTGTCTTGCTAATGGCCACTCACCTTCTTTTCGCTGTGTTAACCCGACCCATCTTTTTTTTGGTTTTTTTCTTCCGTTTTCATGATTGGTCTTGGGCCTTGCCCAATATTTTCAGCACTCGCCACTCCTTTTTGCACCCTTGGCCCATTGTGTTTTAATCTAAGTTGTGTTTCCCTTGTTTAAATCTTTGGGTAAGCTTTGGGTTCTAAATTAAATTGTTAAGATAATCCTTTGTTTAAGTAGGTGTTGCAATTTAGATCTTCTTAGCTTCTTTTTTTTTTGGTCATGGAGTTTTTTTATGTCGTGGGCTTTGAATTTTATTGGTAATTAACTTTGATTAATTGGTATTTAGTTTATATGATTAATCTTTTACCCAAGTCCTTGACTGACTTTGTGTAATTGTTGGTCTATCTTCTGGATTATAATTCACACTTGATTGAGAGGCTCGTTTTTTATACGGAGGCTATGACTATCGGAGTTTGAGTTTGCAATTAGTTAAGATGTATAGAATTTGTGATCAATCCTTAGTTTCAACTTTTATGCGATCAATTTCCTGACACTCACTTACTATTAATGGTACATATGCTTAACGGCCGTCCTTGACACGTGGTGTTACTCAATATATGCTATAATGTCCTGAATTTATAAGCTGGCTATTGTTATATTATATATCTCGTATGTTGATTATTCAAATCACGATTTCAATTTTAATACATATTGCCTATATTATATTTGCATGCTCAAGTCCAAGGGAAGAACCTGTATATGACTTTATACGTTGTATGCACTACATTTTCATTTGCATTCTTTCCTTTGCTTGATCCCTGATCGATCAGCTTAGGTCACTCTTGTATCTTAAGGTAGGCTCCTATAAGATTTCAACTTAGACAACTCATATTTAAATCTCATTCTCACAAGAGAATTATACATCATTCATATTTGTGGTTGAGATATGATTCTCCTACCACATAACATAACCGAGAAATATGTAGAATCTTTTTCGCTTGAGTGAGGTACGCGGCATACTCGTCGATTATAAATCCGAGTTAGAGTCCTTCTCTCAATGCGATGTAAAAACCGTCTTCCATACGTTTGTGATGGTTAACTCGAGTATTCTCCCTAAGATGACGACTTGTCTCTTCTCCTAGAATCAATCAACAAACCTCCCCCCTGGAACCTTGGTTGCGGTCAAGAGTTCCTCAATCCCTTTAGGGAAACTACGAGTGCTCTGATTTCACTCCCGTCTGGATACGTAGGCACAAGAAGCGACTTCTTGGCAAGCATACTTAGAAATAAACCCCTAGTTCTTTCATCCTTAGCAAACAACAATAACACAAATATAACAAAAGGTTTCTGTAGAGTACTACAGATGCTTAGGACACTAATACATTTCCTATGTTTAACTAACCCTCGAACCTTAGATTCTTTAGATTTGCATCGCATTGCATACTTTTGGGTTATTCGATCTTTTTTCCTTCCCTTGGACAAATTAAATACTGGTGGTGAAAAATGATTTGCGATTCAAATTAATGAATAGCTTAGTATCCAATCCTCACCGCGACAACAACTGCAAAAAAAACAACTGGCATAAACAAACAGAAGAGTTGCCGCCGAATGTTATTTATCCCAAAAGAGGGAAAGGAATGATAGAATAAAACCTAAAAGAAAGGAGAAGACAAGGTCATCGCAACCAAATCTTGGGTTCGGGAGTCGGTTACGCAAAGGGAAGGTGTGAGCACCCCTCATGTCGTTGTATTTAACGGGATCCACGCTTGTTGTCTAATCAAAAGGGTGTGTTATCTAAAGCCTATGACTAAATAGAAACGAGAAAGGGAAAATAAAAAGGAGACTCGATAGGACATCGTCTCCCTATGCCTACGTATTCCCTTGTGCAATGGGAAAGTTAGAATTAACATAGTTCGAAAAACTACGAGTGATGGGGGAAGGTTGCTCGCCAAGACATTATCGTCTTGTGCCTATGTATCCTCATCTGGTATGAGAAATCATAGAAAACGTAGTTCGGGTAACTAAACCACAAGTTGGTTAAGTGTCTTTTATGAGTGACATTAAGCTCTCATTCTAGCAGTTATGGTTGATGCTTCTTTGTGGTAAAATGGAAAAATAACGTACTCTTTTCTGAAAATGAGTTTGAAAAGCCAATCCTGAAGGATAAAAAGGTTTGAAATTTGTTTATGAGTTTTAATGCAGTGAATTGATTGGTTTGAGATTCACGTTGCATTAAAGAATATGATATAGGAACGAATGTGTTGCATATTGCTCCCAGACGGGACGTACACTAAACACTCTAGACAAGTAAAGAGAAACCCCTCACTCATCATTCCCCGTATGCTTAAGGCTCGTGGCGCACAATGTTCATCGTCTTTATTATGTGTATTGAATTTTTTTTAGATGAAAAGAGAAAGGACTCAAAGGGTTAAAAACTGGATCCTAATGTTATAATACAACATGGCCCAAATATTGAGGTCAAAGAGGGACTATCCTAGTTGTTATCATGCAAAGGATTGAAAGCCTAATGTCTCTCCTACTCCCAAATTAATCAGAAATTAAGTGGAACTAGGAATCCTAAGGGATCATGTGAACAAGCATAAGTAAACATCATACTAATCAATCACAAATGGAAACAGGATCAAGACTTAAACAATTCTTAAGAATAGAAAGAGAAGAAAGAAAGATGAAGAAGAAATAAAAATAAAGAAGAAGATGCAACACCACGAACAAGCATGGAAGTTCAAACCAAAAGGCAAGGCATCAAACAAGCAAGCATTGATCTCAATCACATAAGGTAAACATCAACAACATGTTAAGATATTCCAAAATGCATACATGTCAAACCACACTCAAAGATTTGAGATCTACACCAAATGGCAAAACAAAATGCCCCCCCACACACAAATGACCTAAGGTCTAACAAGAAGCAACATCAATCATCAAACAGAGAGAGATAAAGTTAAATGAGGTGAGAAATAAGGTAGGACAGTAGCACATCGTATCATGTTCAACTCAATTCAAAGAGCAAAGAAATAACATAAAGAGGATCAAACATGAACTACATCAATGGCTAATCACTCTCCAACAATTAACTTAAAACATACAAGCCAAACATGATCCAAATATTGAGATTAGGTCAAAAACACAAGATGGGAAGTAGCATGAACAAGAATATCAATCCAAACACCAACTCATGAATAGCAAGAAAAGACACCAAGATTTAAGTTCAAAGCATGTATCAAAACTAGGTGAGCATACACCATGATGAAAACAATTATTCAAGTAATGTACAAAGGGAAAGTTGATCAAGTAAGACACACCATAACATCAAGGTTAGAAGCATGTTAAAATGATACACATCATATCTAAATCTAAATCAACAACCAAACTCAAGAAGAATCAAACTCAAGTTCATGCATAAAAGGCTAAGTAAACATCCCTCAAGCTATCCATAAGAGAAACAAATGATCATGTGAAGTAAATGAGACAAGGTGATCATGTAATGAACCTCTAAACATGAAAGTAAGAACCTTAAACAAGTTAACATAAAATTCATCAAGCATCAATTGGATCATTCAAGAAACAACTTCAAGAAACTAGGTCAAGACATGCACAAGATCATGGTCAAAATAACATCAACTTGATACATCATCCAAAAATAGAAAAATGATCAAATAAATTCCAATTAGGAGCTCAAACCCAAGTTATATCCATTAAGTATAAATGTTCCAAGAATCTCAAAAGGAATTGCATAAATTCACCATCAAATCAATTTGTCAAGGAAAGCATAATATAAGAATCGAGCATACATCGAGGCTCCACAAAAAGCAATGAGAAATTATCAAAAGTGACACACCAAGACATCAAAACAACCCTCAAACAAACAACATTCATATACCAAAACATGGAAAAATATTGGGTCGAAAACAAAAAAAACACATGGCAACTTCATGTTTTCCAATGAGACAACCCGACCCCCCCCCCCCCCCCCCCCCCCCCCCCGTTCATGCACAGTCCGTCGGGAATGCAACCCTAGCCGCCGCGGGCTCCGTCGGTCCGGCGCTGACTGTAACAGCCCAAATTTCATTAAATAATTAATTGTAGTAATTAATTGATTTAGTGGGATTTTTATTAATGTTGGAAATTAATTTTTATTAATTGGAATTAATAGAGAATTGAGAAGGAAATTGGAAGGAAGGAAAATAAAGGAATATATAAGTGAGGAAGAAAAGAAAAGAAAGTTAGAAACATTTGGAGAGAAAGAGGAAAGAAAGAAGAAAGAAGAGAAAGAGAGGAGAAGAAGAGGAAAGTGGAAATCATCAAGAACCAACATCAAAGCTCCGATTAATCGAGGTAAGGGTGAGAAATGTTTCTATTTGATCATTGCATGATGTTATGTATGTTGGGTTGGGGTTTTGGTAGAGTTTTCATCACTTTCCATTTAGGGAAAATGTTGGATAAATCGGTAGATTGATGATTTAAT